ATCACAGGACCATATGTTCCTCCCAGAATCAATGCTGATGTGACTGTGTCGTCATTTAACTAAAAACTATAGGATCAAATTCTATTCCACCGATTAAGCATCTAAGTGGACTCAGGCACCACATCTGAGTCTACTCCATCCTGTTCATGTCCCTTAAAATCCATAAATGCATTTACTTACTCTTATGTTTGAGTCAGAAAAAACACCCATGAGGAAAATGAAGACCCGCCCCACCAAACCTTTTGCATTAACATCTTTTTAGTGACTCAAGCAGGGGAGAAGTTATGCACCTAGTAGGTAAAATAGAACCTGGCTGTCCAAACTGAATACAACACTCCTAATGATTAATTCACTATGGACTACAGCAGAGACAACAGTTTCCTAGGAAGCTGTTTTATCTGCTGGTGACAAGATGCTCCAACAGCCTGGTCAAAAAGTTTAAGAAGTTCTTCTAGGGCAGCAGACAAAGTCAAATGTGAACATAAGGATGTACCTACTTCTTCCAAATATAAACAGATATGGAACTAATTCATAGATTCCTGTATGCTTGAAGAAAAATAATTGTCAGTGTTTCAGCTTTGCTGCCACGTTTTTAAGCCAAAGGTTAATTTGGGGACTCTCAACCGTGAATGGAGCTATATCAATTTACATCACCTGGGGTAAAGTCATGAGGTCTCCTTTATGTAAATGTGTGTAAGGTCAACACGTACTAGGAGTAACTTCTGCACTAAAAGCTCAGGGAGTTATACAGATGTTAAGTGACAGGAAAAATGATCCTACTGAGGGGGGAGGGGGAGGTTTCATATTAATTCTTAAAGTACTGTGGAAAACTGAGATACTATGGCTTAAAACTCCCACACTTCTTCACAACAGGATTAACACAGCAGGATTTAATTGCAGATTATTAAAGCTATAAAAGTCTCATATTTTTAAGGTTACATTAAAAAAGCAATGCATGCCAGGTTTACTTATACAGTATACGTACTTGTCTCTGCCTATTATAGCTAGAATTGCGTCTTCCTGAATGGCTCTGAGGTAGCACATTTTTGCCTGCTTTCAGTTTGAAAAATACTACTTTGGAAATGGTTTCTAGAGAATAATAATGTCTGTGTTTTCCAAATTACCTTTGAAATTTCCTCATGAATTTCACCAACCTTCCACATTTAATCTCATTGATTTATGCACATGTTGTGATCTAATGACCCATATGTCTCCGCTGGGTAAGCCACTAATGCCAGTGGCACATTAACCTATTAACCTTTCTTTCAAAAATAACCATTACATTCATGCAAATAGAATAAGAAGTCAAGCACTAAAAGAAGAGTAGTTAGTACTCTGGAACAACATGCTAACATAGATGTCAAAACTAGCTAAAATTAAAAACAAAGCAGCATACTGAGAGTAAGGCCAGGTACAGACATTCAGTTTCTCCTGGGAGGGTCACTGCTCTCCCAGGGACAACCACGAGCATACAGATGTTCGGGATTTGTCTCTCAGAGCAAAAATGGCTGCTTCAGGAGAAAAATAACCCCAGGAACAACTGGAGTTAAATCACTTCCAGGAGAGTTTTTCTTGCAAGCTCTCTGTTCTTCAAGGGCTCAGCATTCAAATGTCTATTCAGGCATCTTCAGGGAAGTTTTCCACCAGGAAAACAAACCCAGCAGAATTCTCCCAGATCATTTGACTGTGTGTACACAGCCTAAGTGGTGGCAAGACTTATACTGCAGAGATTACTTGTTTACAAATAAGGTAGCCCGCATTAATTAAGAATGCCTACATTATAAAGGGTAAATGAGGGAAATGATTCTGTAGCATTTACTCATCACTTCAAAGATATATACAGCACAAGGGCATGATCCCAGAAGGTACTGACTGACCATCCCTCTGAAGTGCAAATTGCCTTCAACTCCCACTGAAGACAATGGCATGGAGGCCACTTAGTATATCTCAGGAAATGTGCATCACCTCTGTTCCTGAAAGCTTGTGCTCTCTTTACCCCTCATATTTAGGTAATCTATACAGGCGCAGATCTACCCTTCCTTGTGACTGACTTCAGACTCACAGGGCTAACTACCTCTTGGAAAGGCCACTTTGCATTGTTCTCACTAGCAATCCTTTTCGCATCGTCGCTCAGTGCTTTCAGGAAGGAAAGGAATAAAAGAGGGCAAGAAATGCAGCTGGAAGAACTCAAACCAGCTTAGCCAAACATTCAAATCAGGGGTGAGAAAACCCATCACGCGGCATCCATAACCCACGACGAACTTCAGAGCCTTACGCTCCCACTTTCTCCAGTCCTAACGGGTTTGCCATTGTTCCCGGTCCTTACAGGCTTAGGAAGACCCCTTGCCCATTACCGAAATAAATCCCTAGGATTTCCGGGCAGAAGTAAAAAGTGGGCGGCGTGCTTAGCCCAGCCCGGCATCCCAAAGCTTTCGGTTGCCCCGCTTCCCAACCGAAGGGGACCCCCGGTTTCCTTTCCATACAATGGAGCATCCATGGCACACATCGCAGCAGTGACGGAGCCACATAGCAACCAGACGCAAGGGGGGGAGGCGAAATTGAAACGCCGGGGCTGCCTTTGGGCTGAGGGGGGCGACCAGTCCGGTGGAGAGGGCTGCACAAGGGGTTACTCTTTTTTACCCTCCCCCTTCCTTAGGATTAAGGGCAGCATGAAGGGGGAGAGGCTCAGCTGGGGGGGGGAGGCACCTGCCAGCAGGGAGAAGGAAGGTGGGCGCGCGCGGGCAAACTTCTCCCCCACCTCATTTCTCGGCTCCCCCCAGCCCAGCTCCTTTGTTCCCGCGCACACGTGCCGGGGGGCACTTACCTGAGCAGTTGATGCCTTTCCCCTTGCCGCTGCCGCCCTGGCAGTCGGCGGCGGGCAGCGGGTGGGAGGCGCGGCCCGGGGGCAGGGCGGACAGGGCGAAGGCCAGCAGGGCCGAGGTGTAGCACAGCGCGAGCGGCGGGCGCCGGGCGGCGGCG